ATTTTTTTTGGTACAGTGTGCGTGCACTCACCAGAGAGACAGAGAGACAGAAAGTGATAAATCACCTCCCAGGGTGGATGGTGGCCATACAGCAATCCCTTCTCCTCCAGTCTCCTCTCAAGATTTTGGGCATTCACACACATGGTCCTGGTGTGAGTTTGAAGCCGCCCGGTCCAGTACTTGTACTTGAATTGTCGTTGACCATGTGGAAATTCAGTGACTTAACCATTATGCCATCTACTGGTTCTGAAAGTTTTTTTTTTTTTCTTTTTAAGAGAGGTTTTTGCTGTAGGGCGCGTGCGCTTGCCAGAAAGACAGAGAGAGACAGAGAGACAGAAGGTGAGAAATCGTCCCTCAGGGGGGATGGCCAAGCTGCAATCCCTTCTCCATTCTCCTCTCGGAATCTTGGGCATGCATGCACAAGTACTCTGTGTGAGTTTAAGCCACCAGGTCTGTGACTCGAACCACGGTCGACTATATGGGAGTCCAGCGACATAGCCATTACGCTAACTGCTGGTCCCAGAGGTATATGTTTTTTTTTTTAGCGTTTTCTAAAACTATCTATAAAGATTTATTGAGTCCACCTAGAAAATTAAAGGGGTGAAAATGACCTGAAATAATTTTCTTTAATTGGAAAAAATGTAACTCTCTTAGAGTATAATTGTGCAAATTTTAGAGGGCTTTTGATGTGTTTAGATTGACTTTTCATGATTTGTAATTAGGAGTCAGAGAAATAGAATTCAGTACCTATTATATGCCAGATAGTTTTGTTGTATGTTAATGTAATTACTACTTTACTTTCCTTAAGATTTTTGTTAATATTTTTCAAAATGTTTATTGAGTTTGGTAAACCACTTCGCCAATATCCCAGCTACAAAAAGTGTTTCTAGGTCTTAGCAAAATTCAAGTCATGTTAAATTAAAATGATAAATTATCTACTATGTTCAGGTACTATCTCATAAAGTAGAATTCTAGTATAACAAAATAATTTGGACATACTCTTAATTTTCATTATAATGGGGCTCTTATTAAAAATAAAAGGTATACTTTAAGGCCAGAGTTTTTATTTAAAAACTAATGATGTCTGTGGAGTCCATACTCAACCTTCTTATATCTATTACTTTGATCGTGTATCACCTATCAACAAACATTAACAGATCCCATTACATTACATTACATTACAAGTGTTTTTTCTAGGGTAATATCATACTAACTGTCTCATCACATCTTTTTTTCTAGAGTGTTTATTTTTTATTTTAAAATAGTTAATTGACAAATAAAAATTGTATAAAGAAGCTCCTCAACCTACAATGGATAAATCTCCCAATAAACCCATAGAAGTTGTAAATATTTTAAATAAAAAATGCATTTAATACATATAATCTACTGACATCATAGCCTACCTTAAACATTGCTCAGAATACTTAGGTTAGCCTACAGTTGATAACAGATCCTATTTCATAATGAGATGTTGAATAATTGAATACTGTACTAAAAACAAAAAACAATGCAATTCTCAGTATTTTAAGCCAAGAACTGTCAGACAAATGGCAACCCATAACATTGTAAAGTTGAAAAATCCTGAATTAACCTATCATAAACCTGGGACTGTGTGTTCAAGGTATATAGTATAATGATTTGAATTACTTACCACATCCATCACCACTCATAGTTACCATTATCTGTTGTGTGTGTGTGTGTGTGTGTGTGTGTGTGTGTGATGAAGACACTTAAGATCTATTCTTTTATCAAATTATTTTTCTTTTCAAAAGAATTTTATTGTGTATATTTAAGGCATATGACATGATGTTTTAAGATATATTTATTAAAATGGATTCTATAGTGGGTCTCAAATTTCAAGTAAATAGTAAGTATTATTAACTATAGTTGCTGTGCTGTATATTAGATATCTCCAACTTATTCATCTTATAACTAAAATTTTGTATCCTTTGACCAACATCTTTCCCATTTCTCCTACCTCCCAGCTTCTGGAAACCACATTTTTACATTGTGCTTCTGTGAGTTTATCTCTTTATATTCCACATCTGAGCAAGATCATACAGTGTTTGCCTTTCTGTGTCTTCTTATATTTCACTTTGCATAATGTCCTCCTGGTTCACCCATGTTGTCAAATTGTGGGATTTCCTTCTTTTTATGACAATAATATTCTACATACACACATATAGACATACTACATCTTCTTTATACATTCAATTGTTGGTTGTTTCCATAGCTTGGCTGTTGTTCCAAAGTGTGTTTAATTTAAAATAGTTACATGGTTTATTTATGTATATGATAGTCTTTGGTTACACAAGAAAACATTAAAAGAGTTCATGATCTGTTAAGTTCATAGTGCCATAAAACAAAGTTATCAATTTAGTAGCCCTATTTAGAATTTTTCACTTTTCATTATAATTTATCTTTTTGTTATATTCCTTTGCTTTCAAGGTTCCACAGAAATTACCTATCACTCTGGATATAACTCAGAGTCAAGATTACATTTTAATATTTGGAGTAATTGGTCATAGACACTATTATGTCACTCCCATTTCTAAATTCATTTATTCATAAATCTTTATTCTCTTCTTTTTATAGTTAGCAGAGCCTTCCCCATCAAATATGATTTATCTTTAATCTATTTTTTCCCCGTT